CTCGTACGGCACAGCAAGACGCTTGCAAACCCAGCCAATATGACTGAGGCTGATTTCACCAGACACATACAAACACCCTATATTCATGATGGGAAGTCGATAGTCCATGGTTTCAATCCTCTTGCGATTCAGAAAAATTTCGAATCTTTTCTCCATAAATCGGATTCTGATGTCTGCATTTTCTGTTGCGGCCAGATGAACTTTGCGATGCCTGGGACTTCCCCACTTGCTGCCGTCGAACGAATTCAAGGTTACAGCTCCGTCCTTTCCGCTCCAACTGAAGTTTAGCAAAATTTTGCTCAACTCAGACGTTTCCTTCAAACTTATTTCGAACTGGTCACCAACGGCTTCTCCTTCGATCAGCAAACAGTGACCAGGCTGGATCGACAGACCGTCGACCTTAGAGAGGTAAGGAACAGCAAAAATACCTTGCTTTGCTGAAGACATCATCATGTGAGTTTGCTTTGACAATGCGCAGCAATCAGTGAAATGAAGTTTTTCACACAGGTCAACAATATTCTGGTTTCTTTGGCACAATTAAAAGCCAATGCGGTCCTAATGACACACCTATCATCAAGCTTTGCTTGAAACAACAGCGGAATTGACACTCACTCAATGACAAACCAGTCAAATGATTAATCTATTGCCATCACATGACAGTTCAGTTTGACATAATAATCAACATACTTTCTCACCAGCGTGCAATCAAACCATGCCTGTTCTGCAGAATTGTTAGTGCCCAATTGTTATTTTCGTAGGGTCTTTATGTTAAAAAGAAAATACCATGTGGGTCGCGTGTAACTGAAAATGCGGGATTCGATAATTGCAATAAACTCCGATATTCTTACATTTAAAAGTTATTCTAATGCACAAAGTAACAAAACGAAAAAGAACGTAGATTCGAGAAAACGGGTTCAAGCTAAGACCTCCAATTGTAATACGGAATAAACTGGCAACCTCAAGTCTCAGCATGTTTCATAAAGAACACATGTATAGCCGCATAGCTTCTATAATTTTAGCAGACGAAGCTGTTCATTCAGAATAGGATTATTGCGCAATTAAAATATTAAATGCAACCTCAAAAGGAGCTATTTAAACACAACGCTAAACGGTTACCATGGTTTATTCAATATTAAATATGGACTGAAAGTAGGGAAATCTACATGAAAGTAGAATTCTGTGCAACGCCATTGTAAATTTTCTAAATATGACCACCTATGAAGTATGAAAAGTCGGCCAATAGATAAAATAACTAAGTAATAAGTGACTCCAAGGTACACAATGAATTGCCATAACCCTTGATATAACAATGAATAAATACAAAACAATCAGTAAAAAGGTGAGACAAGTGAGTCTGCCAGGTGTTCGAAGTGTAGATGGCTAGCAGCTTTTTTCACTTCTTTGC